ATGTCGTGAACTGTAACTGTAGTAATAGGGCTGACAATAGCCATAAACTGATGAAAAACTTTTGCGACGATTTGTTGAGAAAGTTTTGCTTAGAGGGCGTGAATAATATGATTAAATAGTTCCAGAAATAGTGGTAAAGGTGTGATAATCTGCGGGACGAGAGCGCAGATATGATGACCAAAGACATGAATATAAGACACCATATATTCGAGTGAAAGCTCCGGAAGTACGTGAAGTGTCGGACAGCGCCGGGAGTGGTGATGGCGGCGAACGAAGACATGTCCACGAAGTCTATACAATCAGTGTGTTTGATAATAAAATTGGCCATGGCCATTTGCGGCTTATATGTGATGTAATGACTGGACGATAGGGGAGTCATAAAAATGTCAAACTTTTCCTCCACGGCTCGCACCATGATTTCATCCGGATCCTCGGTTTTCGAGTAAAATTTTATACTAAATTTACAATTAGTAAGCAATTTACAAATTATACTGTAGAAACAAACATATTTGATATAACGTTGTCTTACTATGATTTATAGGATTTGGCGAACTCTATGATCACCTCAACGAGTGGTCCACACATTTCGTACACAGAATCGCGGATAGCGTCACTCAATATATGGATATATTTTTAAAATCTTAAGAATCTGTCACTAATTTGTTCATTACTTACGAAAGGTATAGGTATGGCGGTCCATAGTAGGGCTGTATAAGCAAGGTCCTATTGTCAACGATCTCATCGGAGAACTTTAACAACTCATTTGCTTTGTAAATAAAACAGTGATTTGAGCGCATTATGCCATTCATGTTAATGTAAATTTATTAAATTATTTAAAGTATAGAGTACATAAAGTTTAACAAAAATAGATGTACAAAAAATATCTATAATTTGTTTTGAGCTAAAATGAAACATAATTACTATTAAATATTACGAAAATTAGTTCAGTTATTACTATGAATTATAAATTAGTATTTTTATGCAATAAACTATTATTGATTTAATGATTAGATACAGAATTTGAATATTTTTCATCAATTAAATATTAATTTATAAATAATGGGCCAGAAATATATAATTATATATTTTCTTTTTACATGTAGATTATAATGATTTAATGTATTCGCACTAAAAGTTTGATCTAATTGCAAGTGTTTTGAATATAAACAAGTTATAAATAAAAGTTTGTTATTGTTAGAAATTGTTTAATAACTTTATGGCATTTGAATAAAAAAGAAATAAAATTCTTAGTAATTATTATATAATGATTTTATTTATAAAAGCAATTAACAAAATTAATGGCTTAAAATATAAATACAATGCATGCTAACCAAAATAAAATGTTTACAATTTTAATTAAAATTTTTAAAAATCTTTTCAAAAATAAAGAATATTCTTTAGGTAAATAGAATAATGAGCCAAAATATGTTATAATTTAATAAATGCCTTAATATAAATATAATTTTTAATATACTGTATATAAATTTATAACATAATTAATGACAAAATTAATTATACTTAAAAACAATTCTGTACTGTAGCATTTTGCAAATGTAGCACAAAATTGCATTGAGTTTAGTAAAAATTATTTCATTGATAAAGTAAACTGAAACTGTAAAAACTTTTGCATTTCACATAAAACTTGGAAATGCCATCAAACGGGCCTCAAATTTTAAATGTCTTTAATTTTGGTCACTTAAACCCTCAATATTTAATTACTTTAAGCATTAGGCTATAATTTATGGCAGAAATCGGGTTAGCAAATATGAAATTTATTCAAAATTAGTGCTTTTTCAAAAAGTAGTGTTTAGGACATCAATAGATAAAGATATCCAGAGATGATAGTAAACACTGGAAGTGCTATTTTGAGCGTAAAAGTGGTCAAACATTTGGTTTGTGGACTCAAAGCCAACAAAACGCTGCCAAAACTTTTGCTAACAAACTGCAGACAATTGAGTACTCAATCGCAGACCTCACCAGAGATTATCACCCAACAGGGCATCACTCAAAGCAAACCCATTGCCATGTCTTCACCGCATATCTACACCAATGATAGCCTGGGTATGCAATCGGTGATCCAATGGACTCACTCATAGATATAGCGCACATTTATATTAATAGTGAATATATCCGTAAATTAATGTCTTTTTTGATTACATGACTGAATGAATGGCACAAAAAAGTGGTTCAATTGGACGCCGAGAAGCTGTTCAATGGTCTGACGGATGAGGAGTCGCTGTACGCCCACTACATGTCAAAGGCCTCGTGGTTTGGATCACTGATCAACTTATTTCAGGTCTCAATTCATTTAACAGATTATTATCTGTTGATTGCAATGACTTTCATGTGTTTGCTTCAGACGTCTCCGGAGTCGCCGCTAATCTTCACTCTCTTTCGGCGTATATTTGGGAACCAATCCATCGATGAGTTGAAGAGTTTGGCCCAAAGTGTGGCTCATTTTGATGACAACGAGTGGCGGGTATTCTATACATACTTTCAATTTTATCAGAATATTCTTGAAAACCACTCATATGTCGATTCTTGCGCCGAAAGGCATTGTTAGTGTATTTGTCGGCATTTTTGGCATCGATGGGAAACTATCGCTTTTACGGCAGCAATCAATTCATACCCGATTTGCCACAAAACAAATTGGAGGCACTGGTAGTCAACTCCAGGGCCTATCAGACCAATGAGAAGGACTTGCGATTCATTTGGGAAAACGTGAAGAAAAGGATGTATTCTCTGGAGAAACACGAGTTGTCTCTCGGATTCCCTCCAGAAGTCAGTCCTATTATTGACTATAATATGCATTCATTTCTTATAACTAAGTCTTCATTCAAAGGGAACGACAACTTATTTCTCGAAGAACTGCACGAAAGAGGACTTCGAAGTCATCAAAGAGTTCATGAAATCAATTGTTTGTATAATTTATATAATTTTTTATATAATGTGAGATCTAATTAAAATAAAAATAAATTAATTTTATAACAGAAAATGGATTCACATAACAGTCGTGTCTTCAAAGACAGCGAAACCAATACTTTTACCATCAGATTCGCATCGATTCTGTCGGATGAGGACATAGAGGACAGCGATTATCTGCGACTGAATGGCAATGAACTGAATGGCTATCAGTTTGTGTTAAGTCGAGGCGATTACTCGCCATTACTTGAGATGACAAACAAATACTTATCAAAAGCTAAAGAATTCACAGAAAACGACACTCAGAAGCAAATGATTGAACAATTCATTGAACACTTTCGGAGCGGAGATATTCGTCACCATAAGGACGGCTCAAGACATTGGATCAAAGATAAGGGACCTATAGTTGAGACACACATTGGATTCACGTATAACTATAGAGACCCGTCGAAAATGAGGGCCGAGTTAATGGGTATAAATTAAATCATTTTCACGTATAACTCATTTGAAAGTTATTTTTGTTTTTGAAGCATTTGTTACGATTGTCGACAAAGAGTTGTCCAAAAAATTGGAATCATTGGTGAGTTTGTCGCCATCACTGCTACCACTGCTTCCGTGGCCTAAAGACCTCGAAAAGGATCGCTTCCTTCAGCCAGACTTCACATCACTGGATGTGTTGATGTACTCGAAGGTTGACTTCATTGGGTATAATATTCCTGTTTATGCGGACATCCGTCAGGACGAAGGCTTCAAAAACATGACTTTCGGGAATGTCATCACCGGAAAGCTGAATAACATAAAACTAAACTTTTTCAACCCTGATCACTCGAAACTTATGCAAACATATTTGATTCATAGTAGAGAAGTATATTGTTGAGTTTAGATATTAAAAATATTCTCTATAAGGTTAATACATCACTTCACGAGCTGTTAGGACACGGCTGTGGAAAACTGCTACAAATAGTGGACGGAAAGCCTAACTTTGATGTCGAGAACACCATAAATCCATTGACTAATGAAAAAGTGGACAAATGGTACAAAACGGGCGAAACCTATGAATCAAAGTTTACTTCATTGAGTGGTCCTTACGAGGAATGTCGGCCCGAATGTGTGGGTCTTTACATGTGTTTCAATACCGATGTCTTGGAGTGAGTTCTTGGCATTCATTTCAATACAATTCTAATATTTCTATATTTTTTATTCATTTTGACAAACATTTTGTAGAATCTTTGGAATCAAGGGAATTGAGACTCAAACTGTTATTTACATGATTTGGCTCAATATGGTTGTGAGAGGTGTAGAAGCACTCCAGATGTATAACACGAATAGCAATAAGTGGGGTCAGGCCCACGCACAGGCCTGGTATGTCATACTACGGGTCCTATTGGTTACAATTGAATACATCGACAAGTCTTCGACAGACGGTCTGTACTTTGAGTTGAGTTTTGTTCACAAAATAATTGATGTTTTGGTTGTGTTTAGGAAAACCGGATCTATTGATACGACTCTCGACCGACAACTCATTGAAAGTGTCAGCCGTAAAGCGATCGAAGATTTTCTGCTCAGACTTCAGACCTACAAGTCTTTGGGAGACATGGAGTCCGCGCACCAGATGTTTGACGCCTACAGTCAAGTGTCGGACACTTTAGAGCATCCGTTCCTCACATACAGGGCTGTAGTGATGGACAGACATAAACCGCGAGTTTTATTTGTTCAGTCGTCCACTGAAGTGATCGATGGAAAGGTAGTGCTGAAGACCTTTCCGACCACTGATGAGGGTCTCATTGAGTCGTTTGCCTCACATTTGGACGATAAAGATGTCGATATCGATGACATTGTTCTCGAGTTGTGGCGCAAAGACTACAAACATTTCTATTGATATGATTAGAAATTTTTGGTTAAAAATGATTTTACATAAAACTAATATTAAATTAATTTGAAGTTTTAATGTAACTAAATAAAGAGATTCTTTAAATTTAATTAATTATTTTATTTATTATGTATTCAATGAACAAAATAATTTGTGAAACTAGACACCCAAACATTAAAATATACAATAAATCCAAAATATCACGAATCGATATATTTTTGGCCTCAAATAAATTAATAACTATTTTCTGATCAATACTTCCAATGGCTTCGCGATTATAATTGAGTACATCTCTAATCCATTGGTTATATAAACCCGATTCACGTAATAAGACAATCCTGTCAATGATATTTAGTTAATGACATATTGATAAACATTTCTTATTTCATTATCCGATACTTACATGCGATTCAAACCATTGAGGGCCCACTCCCCGGGTGTTTGGCAAACAAACATGAAATACGGTTCGAGTCCTCCGTTTTCATCCGATATATGCATCAAATCTATGAGTCTTTTATTGTCATTCAATTGACTCTTATCTTCATTTCGTGTCATTTCTATCAAATCAAAAATTATGAACAGACGGGAAGCGACGTAAGCCATTGAGCCATTCCTCAGACCAATTGGTAGATATGTCTTCACTTCTTCGTAGTCATCAAATGCTGACAACTGTTTGCGTAGAGTATTAGTTAACTCTGTGTCATGTGATTGTATAAATTGAACAAGGGCACTATCTTTTTGAACAATAATTTTCATTTCACTGTGCTTAGCAAGAGTCTCCAATGAATCAATGGTAAGTATCGGTGCGGCGGTCGACATGTAATCCAATATATAAGTTATGAATTGTATGGACAGTACCAGAGCTGACAATAACCACAAACTGTTTATTGATTTTTGTGTTGATTTCAATAAGAAGTTTTGCAATGATTTTGCGAATAAAATGAGGAAATAATTCCATAAATATTGTGAAAAATTAGACAATTTTTGAGATGAGGTAAAGGATAACAAAATAATAGAAAGTATTATTAAATACCAAACACATCCTTCAAAACAATTAAAGTAAATAAAATGTCTGACAGCACCGGTAGATGTTTTGGCCACAATGGATGCCACATCAATGAAATCAATACAATCGCTGTGATGAAAGGTATAGTTTATTGCACTTAATTGTTGAGTATATGTCAGATAATACCCGGCTGTTGCGGGAAATAGTAATATATTAACACTGTATTCCAGAAAATTATTTATGATTTCTGCAATTGACTCAACTTTACCTAAAATTTTAACACTTATTGAGAGAAAAATATTTATTAAAATATTTAATTAAAAAGTTTATTTAAAATGGAACCTACTAAGATTTATATGCCCTGGCAAATTCTATAATCACCATAATTAAAGGTCCACATAATTCATACACTGAATCACGAATTGGATTTCTGTAAATTATTTTAAATATATAAAAATACTGTATAACTTTTATATAATATAACATTACAATAATTATAATATAATACTATATAAACATACGATAGGAATACAAAGGGTCGTGAGTCCATGGGCTGAATGATCAGAACACGACTTTCAATGACATTATCCGTGAAATTCATTAATTCATTCTCAGTGTAAGAAATGCAATGATTTAAATGCATTGTGGATACAGTACTTGAAAATACAAAATGAATTCAAATGAAACAAATGCCTGTACTACTGCAATATTGTGATTGAGCTCGCATCTTACGCCTACTCATATAAAATGAAACAATTTTTACAAATTATTTTTACCCTTTAATTATTAAAGTTTAATATAAAGTAAATTTAATTATTTATGAAATTATGAACATTATATATGATGCGAACTCAGTCACAATATTACTGTAGTTTGGCTTTTGTCTTATTTGAATTGTAATATAAAAATTTTACAAATGGTAAATTAAATAGTTTTTCAAAGTATGGTTTCAATATAACAGTAAATGTACTGTATACTGCATTAATACGTAAAAATTTCTTTAAATTATGAATCCAAGTAAAAACTACAATCTTGATAATGTCACAGAATGTTAATATTCTGAATACTGTACTATTGTACTGTACTTTAATATCAAATGACTTATATTATGAGCACTGAATACAGAGAATTAATATAAAACAATGTCTTGCTTTTCATCGATTCTTCCGATTTGTTTGCGATTATTGTCGGCTTTGAAAACGTGATATTGTACTCAATTTGTACTCAATTTGTACTTATATTAGCCATCAGAAAACGGACACTAATTTGAAATTATTTCAATCATTACTCCAATTAATTACAATGCAAAAATATAAATATAAATCTTTTTAAACGTGTGTCTCGTTTTCTATTAACATATTTATTATTATGTTAAACGCAAATAAAAGAAAATTAATAATAAATTAGTTTACTATATTTCTATTTACAATATAATATTTAATTTATTGAATGCATATAAACTCTATCCAAATATGAAAATGTTCAAAATTTTAATATTTAATATAGTATAACAGTATATTTAATTAAAATAATAATAAAGATTTCATTATTTTTATTAATAATATTTTATATTCAATAAATAAAATAATTTTTGATTATATACACCGAACAGTAAAATATACAGTAAATCTACGATACCCTGGATCGATAAATTTTCACTTTAAAATAATTACATTTTGTGGTCAATAGTTGCGATCGCCTTTTGATTATAATTGAGTGCATCTCTAATATCATTGGTTATATAATATAAACCGGATTCACTTATTAAAATAATTCTGTGAATAAAAAATAAAATATACAGTTATTTGTTTCGTATAAACTGTAAGTTAGTTAAATAGTTTTATTGTTATTTTAAATAACTAATGAATATAGTTATTGACCTGGATAAAATACTAATTGACCAAGCATAAAACAAGATTTCTTAAACTAATAAAAACATCAATTATACAATAAATTTATATTGATAATATTTTTATTTTATACCGTGGAGTACATAATTTACAATATGTTAATATAATACAATATATTATATGATAAAACATGTATCGGTAAAACTTTTGTCACAGGGTCCATTATAAGGGTACGGTGCATCCCTGCATCGATGCCCATATAATATCAGAGATAGTGTTAAGGAATTGGGTTGAATGGGGTTTCGGAGAATGGGGAATGAAGTACTCCTCGCATTATACACGTGGGCACTACAATATGTTTATCATAAATTATATGCAAAAATAAATTGTATATTTTCCAATGAATGGTACAGTATTCATATTAAGATTGCTCCCATTCAATATATGGATAGGTAGTCAAGAGACGACCTGTATTTTTATATAAGATTTATTCATAAAATAATTGCAGATTTGGTTGTTGTTAGAAAAGGGCTTCTTATGGCACAACTCGGTCGACAACTAAATAAAACTGTCCCCTCAAAAGCGATACAAATTTTGTGCACAGATTTTTCATAATTCCTTCAATTATAATCCAGTTGATAACTTATTACTATATTCTATTAATAATATAATTATTGAAAGCATACACCCAAACAGATAAATGTAGAATAAATCCAAAATATCATGAGTCGATATATTTTTGACCTCAAATAAATTAATAACTATTTTCTGATCAATACTTCCAATGGCTTCGCGATTATAATTAAGTACATCTTTAATCCATTGGTTATATAAATCCGATTCACGTAATAAGACAATCCTGTGAATGATCAGTGAATTACTTATTGATAAAAATTTTTTATTATTTGATATTAATACTTACATGCGATTCAAGCCATTGAGGACCCACTCACCGGGTGTTTGGCTAACAAACATGAAATACGGTTCAAGTCCTCCGTTTTCCTCCGATATATGCATCAAATCTATGAGTCTTTTATTGTCATTCAATTGACTCTTATCTTCATTTTGTGTCATTTCTATCAAATCAAAAATTATGAACAGATGGGAAGCGACGTAAGCCATTGAGCCATTCCTCAGACCAATTGGTAGGGCTTTCTCTATCTCTTCGTAGTCATCATATGGTGACAACTGTTGGCGCAGAGTATTAGTTAACTCTGTGTCATGTGATTGTATAAATTGAACAAGGGCATTATCTTTTTGAACAACAATTTTCATCTCCCTGTGCTTAGCAAGAGTCTCTAATGAATCAATGGTAAGCATCGGTGCGGCGGTTGACATGTAATCCAATATATAAGTTGTGAATTGTATGGACAGTACCAGTGCTGACATTATCCACAAACCGATTATTGGTTTTAGTGTTGATTTCAATAAAAAGTTTTGCAATGATTTCGTGAATAAAATGAGGAAATAATTCCATAAATATTGCGAAAAATATGATAATTTTTGAGAAGATGTAAATGATAATAAAATAATAGAAAGTATTATTAAATACCAGACACATCTCTCGAAACAATTAAAATATATAAAATGTCTGACAGCACCGGTAGATGTTTTAGCGGCAATGGATGCCACATCAATGAAATCAATACAATCGCTGTGATGAAAGGTATAATTTATTTCATTTAATTGCTGAGTATATGTCAGATAATACCCGGCTGTTGCGGGTAATAGTAATATGTTTACATGATATTCAAATAAATTGTTTATGACTCCACCAATCGTATCAACTCTGCCTAAAATTTTAATACTTATTTGAAACAGACATTTAAAAATTATATATTTTTGTTATTGCATAATTATATAATGTAAAACTGTATCCAATGCTTACTATGATTGATATGACCTGGCAAACTCCATAATGAGCATTATAAATGGTCCACACAATTCATATATATGATCACGAATTTGTCTATAATTATTAAAGAATTGTAAAATAGTTTCTTTTATAAAAATAATAAATTTCAATAATGTATTCATACAAACTAAACACAAATGGCTGAATATTCATGGGCTGAATCACTAGAACACGACTATCAATGGCATTATCCGTGAAATTAATTAATTCATTCTCAGTGTAAATAATGCAATGATTT